GTAATGGCTATGTCGCTGGACTCCCACGTAGTCAACCGCGGTTAGCATCCCGGACCCGATGGCTTAAAACTCATGCCGGGCGCGTGTGCATACATGCCCAAGATCCCGAGAGAGAGGAGAATGGAGGAGAAGGGATTACGGCGTGACCATCCCCCCTGGGGAGTGATTTCTCGCTTTCTGTCTCTCTGTCTGTCTGGCGAGCGCACGCACCCTAAAGCAAAAACCTCTGGGTGGGGGGAAGAAGGCCCAATGCTGGAAATTTCTCTCTATTGCTTTTAAATTTGAGAAGGAATTGTTTTAAAGTTTATTCAGTTATGTCTTCCATGAGAGAGACAGAGAGACAAACATTCCCAGCAGGGTCCCCACACTGTGATCCACCCCTTGTCTCAGTCAGCCTGGATCGTGGCACGCCCAGTATATACAAGGAGGTTCCAGGATGCAAACCTACAACCTTCCCGTGCCGTTCTAGTTGCACCTCTGCTGTGCCACCACCTGGCCCAGGACCGAATTGTATTTAGATATCCGAGTGACCACAGAGGTAGTCTTATTTACATGCCAGCAAAAATACCTCGTGCCTATCACAGTCAGAGAATCCCATTCACCAGAGTCGAAGCTGTTCATGCCACAGGAGAGAGGACCCCAGAACAGTGTCCCTGGATTTAAATTACCCTCTCCCACCCCAGGCAGTAACAGGCTGCCTGGAGGAATATGTAGTTGGGCGGGGCGTAAAGGGTGCTGCGCGCTGACAGCAGCTTTGGTATTCCAGACTCCTAGCCCAGCTTTAGGAACTGCTGTGTGCCCTACACATCCAGCTGTGGAGGAGACAGGAAGGACAGTATCGATGTCACAGTGTAGAGACCGAGGCTCAGAGGACTGGATGGCTTGCCCAGGATCACATAGAAAACCTGCTCCGATTCCCACCCCTTGCTCTGTTACCTGAGCCACTGTCCAGGCCAGGGATCTCGAACGGCCGAGTCAAAACTCCATTTCGGGAAATGGGAGTGTTGATTTCTCACTGACACAAAATTAAAAATAAATACAGATTTTGAAAATATATTGCGACACATCTTCAAATTGCATTTTGACCAGAAAAATTAAGTTAGAAAGACCACATGGCAAAAAAGATGTTTTGAATGATCAAGGACTTTGTCTCCCCGACCCAACCTCACACACACACACACACACACACACACACACACACACACACAATCTCTCATTGTTTCTTCTTCAGGGAACAGCTGTGAAGGAAGTAGGGGGAGGGGATGGACACAACATTCCATCTTTGTGTGTCATACAGAGCGAGGCTTTTAGGACACCCTTCCCGAACTGCAGGGGGTGTGGCGTGCATGAAAATGAAACATCAATGACCTGAAGCTTATAAAATAACTTGGGAGAGGCCAGGCACCAAGACAGGCATCAGGAATTGGATGATTTTGCATGTGGAAACTGCTTTCATCTTGACTTAAAAGGTATGTACTGTAGATTTAATTTTTATTTATGAGAAATAATGCTTAAAATAGAGACAGTTTTGACTTTCAGCTAAAAATCCCATGTCTCCCTGACTGAGGGCTTGTGCCAGTAGCTTCGCAGACTCGGTCTTGTTTTTCTTCAAACTTACACGGTAGATATTATTAGTGCCGTTTTCAGGTGAGAAAGCAGAGGTTCGGATATGCTAAGCAACGGTCCTAAGACCCAACCCTGTGCTGATTCAGCCCAAAGTCTTCTGCCTATTCTATGGCCTCATGTCCTCCCGTTCTAAAACGAAACACTGAGAAAATCTCCCATGCACCAAATCCTGCACCAGATAAATTCTCAGGGAGTTATCCAACTGTGCACTACAGTGAAATGAACTGAAACACTGCAGTCAAGTGTACGAAAAGAAAATGCATTCAACATTATGGCATAAGAATGTGTCCTTCGGAAGATAGAGTTCATGTTATATTCCATAGCTAAGTGGGCTTTTAAGACCTGTTTACTTGTGGGCACATATTGTATTTCATCCTGGGACATCTCAACGTCTAGTCCTTCATATTCCGTAGCACCTTGTGATCAGGGACGATGTCCAGTGACACTCAGATGCTAAGAGCGACTTGGGAGATCTGGGCTTAAGCTGTGGCTTCAGAGGGCCGGATGGTGGCACAGCAGTGGGCCCCAACCCTCTGCAAAGCTGCCTCCATGGAAAGGATCCGGGTTTATGTCTGGAGACCTCCCTGAACATGCTGGGTGTGCAAATGCCCATGACCTGGGACTGGTTGAGGCTGGCGGTGGGGCACAGTATTAGAGTTCTCCCTCTCGCACACACAAATTCTGACCTCACGGCTTACCAGGAGTAACCTGGGGAATGGAGCTCGCTGAGCGCAAAGGGAGTGTCAGCACAAGGGCTCCCAGGGGAGGTGCCGGGCGGACTCAGGGCACAGCACACTGATCATGCCGAGACCAGGCCTCTCCATGCGGAAGCTCAGTGAGCATGAACTGCGACTCGCATCTGCGCCTGACCCAGGGGGATGCACTGTCTCCTTAGCAGAACTATTCTTCAATCATCTAATGGTGAAAACAATATTTAGATGATATTTTTAAAAATATTTCAACTCTTCACGAGACAGTCTTCCGATTGGCCTCAGAAGAAGATGCAAAAATATATGACATCCATAATCCATATTCTACCCAAGGTCATAAATACACATTAATAACATGCTCAGAAAGCATCGGGTGAGTCAGAAGGGAAGAGGCATTGACAAGCGTTACAGATGCCATCGGTGCTGCAACAAAGAGGCATCTTTCCAAGAGATACAATCAGGAGAATTAGCCTTGTTCTGAAAGCCTCCCACAGAGCTAAGGAGTATGTTTCAGCCCACAGGAGAATGTTTTGTACTGAGACTTTTGTCAGAGTTAGACATGGAGCTGACTCTTGTAACTGACGTGGTGAAGTCAACCTCATTGGTCCCAGAGGTGGCTGCTTACCGAAAGGCACCCAGAGCAGGGTGCCCAAGCAAGCATGGCTCAGGGTGCTACAGACAGGAGGGCTGGCGGTGGGGCCCACGTTCCAGCTCTCTGCGCCCTTGTGAGCCTCAGCTTCCCCATCTATGTGCCGGGTGGGGGTGGGATTGGAGAGGTGACCGCTAAGGTACTGTCCGGTTTGGGGGACCTTGCAGAATGTCACAGTGTGTGGCCTCCTTTGGGGTTAGATTTTTCTGGCTAAGACCCTTAGCTTGGGCTACTATATAGCCCTTCAAAAGTCCTAAGAATCTCATGGGACCAGCAGTTAACGTAATGGCTATGTCGCTGGACTCCCACGTAGTCAACTGCGGTTAGAGTCTTGAACGCGGTGGCTTAAACTCACGCTGGGCGCGTGTGCTTGTGTGCCCAAGATTCCGGGAAGAGAATGGAGGAGAAGGGATTGCGGCATGGCCATCCGCCCTGGGGGGTGATTTCTCGCTTTCTATCTCTGTCTCTCTCTCTCTCTGTCTGGCGAGTGCACGCACTCTATAGCAAAAACCTCTAAAAAAAAAAATAGTCCTAAGAATCTCTTAAAAACAGATACAAGTTTCTGTCAGTTTAGACTGGACTTCTACAGATTCATCACCCCTAAAAGGTTCAAAGGCACATGCTGTCTGCCCAGTGGTAGGAGCTGATGGGAAACAGAGCCACGGAGACTGAGGAAGATGGTCCCACCGCAGAAACCACCCCTCCCAGCCAGCCCCTGCCAGCAGCTTTCACTCGTTACATAACTGTTCTTCTGAAAACCAGGAAATGAAACCTCCAGAAAAAGAGCTATTGATTATTAAAGGTTATTTGGAGGTTTAGAGACTCATAATAAAGTGGTTATAATTATTCCTGTTATGACACATCCTTTTAAATGCTCTGCTCTGGGAACATTTTGCTCGCATTGACTTGGTCCTCTCATCACTGGGAGAAAGGCGAGGAGCTGGAGATTGCTCGTGGGCAGCTACAGACAGAGAGCAGGTCAGAGAGGGCAGGAGGGGCCCAGGACCCCGCAGTTGTAGGCAGCACTGCAACCTCTCTCCCTCAGCCCCACTGCCCCTCCTCAAAGCACACGGGGTCAGGTGCTTTTTGCACAGTTAACATCAGAGGACTGTCGTTCTCCGGTTATATGCACGTCATCTATGAAAAATATCCTCAACGGAATGTTTGAAAAAATAAAATAAAATAAAGGAGGGGGCCAGCAGGTAGCATGGAGATGGATGCACTGGATCCTGACTGTGTTGTTTGAGTCCCAGACCCGGCAGCTTGAGACTACTCTGAGCACATGTGTGTGCGTGCCCATAATCCCTAGAGGAGAATGGTGGAGAAGGGACTATCGTGTGGCCATCCCCTCTGGGAAGTGGTTTTGCTTTTTGTCTAGCGAGAGCACACACCCTATAGCAAAAAATAAAAAAATAAAAATAAAAACAAAAAAGGAAATACACTCATCTGTTTCTGTTCTTCATAATAACAATAACCAGCATTTATTGAGCTTTAAGTCTGCGTCAGAAACTGTTCTCTATACGCTCTATAAATTATCTTATTTAATTCCCAC